CCTGGGGCAGCCACAGCCTCCTTGGGGTATTCACAACCTCCTTGGGGCACCCACAGACTCCCTGGGGCACCCACAACCTCCCTGGGCAACCTGTGCCAGTGTCTCACCACCCTCACAGGAAAAACACTTCTTCCCACTACCTAATGAGATTTTTTTTTAAGGTGTCTCACTGTGACCTTTACCTGTTTTTCAACATTGAAGGAATGGAAGTTGTAGTCATAGGTGAGCTCAGTCCCTGCAGGCATGTCCTTGAGTGCATAGAGCCCAATCCTGTACACACCATTGACAGACCTGTGGGAAAACATGGTCAAATATTCCCCAAACCTTTGTCTACACAGAGGCAGAAAGAGCAACGCTTCTGCTGTACCCTGGGTTGTGCTTGTTCTTCTTGACCTCTTACAATGACCCCTGAAAGCTAAAAAGTGAACCTTTACAAAGAGCAGGAGGTTTTGCTTCAGGCAGAGAAGCTACAAACTCTCCTGGTTATCATGGCAGATTGACTTATCCACTGCCAACCTCAGGCCAACACTTCTGGATCAAAGCTTCCACTGAACATCCTACAGCAGATCTCAGGGTCTCAAGGTATTCCAGGAGGCATCAAGTGTTTTCCTCACCATTTCTGCATCTCACAGTTGGGGTTGCAGCTGTGGTTGATGAAACGTGCCTCGTTGCCCATGCGGTAGCTGTCGATGACCATCCCACTGTCCAGGTTCAGGCAGTAATGGTCACTGTGGTTGTGGTACTGCTCAATCATCCTGTTCCTGCAGAGCAACACAGCCAAACTCTTGTCATGCTGTTTGTTCCCACACAGCAAACAGGGTAAACACAGTAACAGCACATTGAGGAAGTCTCAGAGAGGGTTTGGAAGGAAAAGCAATGATCATCTTTGGTATTTTATAGAACCAAACACCTAGAGAGGGAGGAAAACCATGATTGTACCTACAAGTCAAGGCCACTGACAGAGCTTGGGTTAGAATTTAGAAATTTGCTCTTCTGGAATGGTCCCTTTGGGGTTCTGCAGGTTATTTGTACACATTTCGTGGTGATAACCTGTGTCTGGAAGAGAAAATGCAAGTACACAGTTTTGGGGAGGTCTGTGGATGCAGGTGGATAACAACCAGCTGCTTCCTGGGGATGGGACAGGTTCTGGAATCACACCCATGGATCACAAGAGCACAGTGTGACAAGAGTCAGTGTTATCTCTGTGACAGGCTGTAGCTGTCTTCTGGTGGAGCTCTGAGAGCAGCAGGTCCATCCCTCCAGCCTCAAACACTCCACGATCCTATGGAGTTAACAATTGCTTTTTTCCTCGGTTATTATGCTCCCACTTGTTCTTTTTCCATCACACCTGTCTGCAAAAGCTCCTCCCTCCCAGCCCCACTGTGCCCCTCAGCTCTACCTGGCACAGTCCAAGTCCTGCACACTTCTCATTCCAGATTCACTGCCATTTGGCATTCACAGGGCAGATGAGGCAGGTGATGCATCCCAAACACTACTCACTCCTCTCTATGGGGCTGAGAAAAACCTGGCTGAACAAAAACCTGGAATTCTAAGCCTTCCTTGTGCTGGCTGTGCCCAGAACATCATCCCTTTCCCCCTTATCCTCCCATCAGCCTTCCTTGGGCCCTTCCTTGTGCTGGTTGTGACCAGAACATCATTCCTTTCCTTTCTTACCCTCCCATCAGCCTTCCTTGTGCTGGTTGTGACCAGAACATCATTCCTTTCCTTTCTTACCCTCCCATCAGCCTTCCTTGTGCTGACTGTGACCAGAACATCATCCCTTTTCCCCTCCCATCATCCTTCCTTGTGCCCTTCCCTGTGCTGACTGTGACTAGGACATCATTCCTTTCCCTTCCTACACTCCCATCAGCCTTCCTTGTGCTCACTGTGATCAGAACATCATTCCCCTTTCCCCTCCCATCAGCCTTCCTTGTGCCCTTCCTTACGCTGACTGTGACCAGAGCCTCATTCCTTTCCCCCTTATCGCTATGGAAATCCCAACCACAGAAGCCAAATCCCTTTACGGATTGTCCCTTCCCTGCTAGAGCAGCAAGGAAACATTTCTACCTGAACTCCTGCTCACTGACAACCTCTCCCAGGTACTCGATGATGAACTGTCCAGCCTTCAGTGGCTCCTTGGTGCGGATGCCCCATCCCTTCTCCTCGGCTCGGAATCGCTCCAGGCACTGCACCCACTCGTGCCGCTGGATGCGCTGATTGCAGCACTGGTCCCCACAGGGACACGTGTTGGGGGAACACTCAGCAAAGATCATCCTGGAAGGAAGCACAGGCCAGGGAAAAAGAGGTGAGGAGCAAACTCTGAGATGGGTCACACAGAGCTATGGGTGGGGGAGGTAATAACGGAGGAAGCCAAAGTAATATAAAGCAATAATATATCAACAGAAATAGATCAATAAGAAATCAATCATAGAATCAACCAGGCTGGAGAAGACCTCAAAGATCATCGAGTCCAACCCTATCGTGGTCACTAGAAGTGCCACATCCAGTCTCATCTCACAAACCTCCAGGGATGGTGAATCCACCACCTCCCTGGGCAGCACATTCCTATGCCTGAGCACTCTCTCTGTAAAAATATCTCTAAGAGCCAACCTAACCTCCCCTGGCAGAGCTTGAGTCTGTGCCCTCTTGTCCTGCTGCTGTTGCCTGGGAGAAGAGACCAACCCCCACCTGACTCCAACCTCCTGGCAGGGAGTTGCAGAGGGTGATGAGGTCTCCCCTGAGCCTCCTCTTCTCCAGGTGAACACCCCCAGCTCCCTCAGCCTCTCCTCATGGCACTTGTGCTCCAGTCCCTTCACCAGCCTCATCGCTCTTCTCTGGACCTGCTCCAGCCCCTCAATGTCCCTCCTGAGCTAATTAATGCTCAGGATTTGGGGGATCCCTCCTCAGGAGAACCAGCTCCAGCCTGGGATGTGCCCTGAGAAACTTGAGGCTGAGCTGGGGAGGGAACTGGTCTGACTGGCAGAGTCCCACGGGCTGGGAAGGGGTTTTGGTGCCAGCAGTGCCAGTGGCATCCCCAGACACTCAGCCTGGGAAGTTTCCCTCCCCTCCCAGCAGCAGGAAGGATCCTGTGTCCCTGTGCTGATTGATGCCTGTCGGCTGGGCCGATCCAGCCCAGCTCTTTTCCTAGCAACCCTAGCAGCTGATGGGGAATCATCCCCTGAAGGTGTTGCTCACCTGTTCAGACAATCCTCCACACAGCCCTTCCCACTGTCATCCTCTGGTTTCTTACAGTTGCAGGTGGTGGCCTCATAGCCAGAGAGAGGTTTGACATCCACGTAGACATCTGGAGGGGGAAAAAAGAAAGAGAAAACAAACCCAAACAGGGAAAAGAATTTTTTTTCCAGGTGAAAAACCACAACTGTTTATCTACAGTGTTTTCACTCCAGTTAGATCAAGGAAGAAAAGGAGATGGAAGTAGCTTAGGGAGGACAAAGAGCAGGCCAGAAAGGAGGGAAATAACATGAAAAATCCCCACAAAAAACCCAGCGCAGACAGTTTAGTAATCAGATTTTACTTACTAGAACGGATTTTTTTATAGAGAGGGACATCTGGCTTTTTGTACAACTGAAAGGAAGAGAAAGAACACGTTAAGATATTGCACAAGTTCATCTGTTGTTCCCAAGGATCAGGGAAATGATGTTCTGTACAGTTCTAGCACCATCACTAGGAATCTGTGTCCTCTTCCCTAGGCTCCAACTACAAATGGGTCACAAAAGGACCTGAATAAGGACAACTTAATGCTATACTGGAGCAGTTTTGGTCTACCACACGTTGCTATTCTGTGTGCCCAGAGCAAGGTGGAACAGTTTTCCCAAGGACAAACTCCTTGGAACTGTGTGGGGATGAAGAGGAATTCATAGCATCATAGAATTTTAGGGTTATTTAAATCCACTTTGGACAAACCATTTTTTTTGGTGGAATCACCATGTGCCAACGCTTGAAAAAGCGGAAAAGAAAAATGAAGGTGCTGATCAAAGCTGTTGGACTCAGTGATCTTAAGGGTTTTTTTTCCAATCCAAAGGGTTCTGGGAGTCTCTGGAACCTGAGTGCAGGTAGAGCCATGAGAAATGCAAATTCACCTTCTCATCAGAGAAACCTCCTCTGCAGATGGAGCTGCCAGGAGGGAAAAGGGAAGCTTACATCATAATTCCACATATTGTCCATCCTTTCCAACAAGCTTTGAGGAATCACTTCCACTCGTTCCCTATTTCACACAGTTTTCCTGCACTAAGAGCCTTCCCTCAGTGAGGTTGGAGAGGCACAACCCAGAGACCTCCCCAGCCCTGTGCAAACTCCTCCCCAGGGAGAGATGGAAAACGCCAAGGAAAAAAGATTCCATAGACTGATTAGTTAGGGAATACTGCACAGATGAGACAGGCAGATGTAAGTCATCACCAGTACAAGGCAAGAAACTCCTCAGCTGAAATGTCCCCAGTGCTCCTGGCTGGGGGATCAGGTTCCAGGGGTGTTACAGCACTGCTGGAGCCACAGCACCTGGAATTTGTCCTCCTCATTTACATGCTCAAGTTACAGGTCTGAGAGTGCTTCCTTGCTGCAGAGCCAGGGACAGATTCCCCCCTGCTCCAGCTTTAAATCCTGGGGTGGAATCATTCCTTGGTGGAAACTTCTCCGAGGGAAAACAAATATTCCTATTTTTAGGCTTGCACTTATTCAAAGCTCTTTTAAAAGAATGAGACTGTTGAAGCGTTTCTCTTCTTTCCTCAGCCTGAAAATTTCAACTTGTGAGTGAAAAAGAAACAGCAAAAAAAACACAACCCACCATAAATTCCACTCTGCTGGGATGGAGCCAAGAAAAATAAGGCCTGAGATTTCTCAGTGCTGTTGGCAGTACATCCCAACCCTCCCGAGGCATGTCTGAGAGCAGCTCCCTGCACACAGCAGCTCACTGCCAAAATAAGAGTCTGCAGCCAAATGAATGACTCCTGTCAGCATAAACTCCCAGGGTTGCTATTTTGCAAGAGCTGGAATAATGGGAATTATTCCCATTAAAACACATATGCAAATCCCTTTTGCTCCTCACACAGTGGCAGCAACAAGAATTTTCCCCAACAGGCAGGAGGGATAAACACTGCTCTGGTGTGAGCAGAGTTGTTGGTGCCTTTCTAAAGCTTCTGAGCCCAATCCTGGCAACACACAGGGAGGTTTTTCTCTCCTACCTGGTTGTGTTTCCACTGCCAGAGGATGTCGTAAGGCAGCTGGAAGTCAATTCTCTTTTGTCTGAGGTACTTTCCTGCAACAAGAAGGTTTGTAAGTGGCACACACTCATACACACTGGCCCCCAGGAGCTGCTCCCAGGGCACCCTGCCAAGCCCTGCCAGGGCCTCTCATGGCTGGGAGGCAGAAAGGGCAAGAGCAGAGTCCTCCCAGACCCTTCTGGTTGTCAGGAAGAGCCTCCACGACCCTAGTGCTCCGTTGTCCCACTCAGGTGGGACAGTCCATGGGCAGTGAGGCTCAGACCTGAGGTGCTGGGGAAGGAGAAGGAGGGAGGAAGATGCTTCTGAGCCTGTGGCTGAACCTCATGGGTGTCACTGAACCCCAACAGGCAGAGGAGAGCTCAGAGCAGAGCCAGGGACACACAGGAGTGTGCCCACAGGGGTGAACAGTGTCCAGGGGACAACAGCCAACACCTGACAGAAGTGAGCCCAACACAACTCCTGACACAAGTGAGCACAGCCCTGTGCCAAACCTCGAAGCTGCCACGTTCTCCTGACCTTTCCTGTGCACAACACAGGACCAAACCTTCTGCACCGACCGTGCGAGATGGTAAATCACCACCTTGTACTCCAAGAAATCAAATCAGGTTTGAAAATAGCATCCAAGTCCGTTCCTGTGACCTTTACCAGAAGAGATTTAAGAATGAATTCAGACTTGGCAAAAACACGTTCCTAAATGTTTTGGAAGGACTTCAAGACGATCTGTATTTTCAGCAATAACTGGAACTCCTTTGAGACAGGAGTTGGTGCTTTCACTGCAGATTTAGGCTCTGTTCTAACTCTCACTGTCACCCCCAAGATCTTGTTCACACTAGACCCGAGGGATGACACGAGTCCTAGGTTAGTCTTATCCAGGATTAAACACTCTCTGATCATTTTGTGGATTCCTGTGCCACAGAACTGAAGAGAGAATGCCCAAGGGTGAGGCAGATACTGGGGGGGGATAAGGGGAGGAATAATGGGGGGGAATGATGGGAGGAAAATAATGGGGGGGAAAT